CAGCAATCATTGTTTCAGTGAATTCTTGCATCAGGTCAATTCCAGCGTAGAAGAGTCCATCACGGCAAGTTCATGACAACTTTTAAACCCATTTGTGTTTAGATTACGAATTATATTATGAGTGGAGGTTGTAATGGTTTGCTGCGTTTCTCTTGTTTTCCTTGCAATTCTTGTGTTTAAGCTTTCAATTTCCAAATTGTTCATTGAATGAGTGATGCAACGTGGAGCTCAAGTAGAGTGCCAAAAATGCTAAGCTCTATTTTATTTGGTTTATCATATTTGCTTTTAATTTGCTAAGTTTTATTTTATTTAAGTTTAAGGGTTTATATTTTAATGATCGGTAGTATTAGACAAATGGTATAGAATTAATAGCGGTACTTTCTTGAGTTTTGATTCACTTATTTATTTGTTTAGCTTCAATCTTAATTATTTCGCGTTCTTATTATTGGCAATTGTTTCTGGTATTTTAAATTATTGAGTTAATTAATTTTAAGTTATTAAAAACTGCTTACTATTTGTTTTTGAACGTACACCTTAAAAACTGTAGTAATAATGTTTTTGAACGTACACCTTAAAAACTGTAGTAATAAGGTGCAAGGGTCGATCCCACAGGGAATTTAATAACTTAAAATTAATTAACTCAATAATTTAAAATACCAGAAACAATTGCAAATAATAAGAACGCGAAATAATTAGTACACAAGGTACCGATCACACACACGGCAGCACATGCCACCCAAGAAATACGTGAATCCATCACTCAGGTCACAAACTCCATAATCGCGTCATGGCCACCACGAGGACCACTGCCGTACCTTGGTGATTAAGGCCCCATAAACCGAAATCGTGCAATCCATGTACAGCCACACACACCACATTCCACACCACAACAGGATTCAATCAACGGATCACAACGAAGATATGAAACCATACTCAATCAAGGAATGGATCACAGTCCAACAACAACGATGATTAACACAAGTTATCATCAAGGATAGGAAAGTACAAACAACACACACGCTAGCATTTAAACACCGAACTAGCATGCTTATCAAACGGGTAAACCAAACGTAGTTCCGAAGAAAACACAAGACTCATCACGGTTCAACTAATCACAATGTTGAACACTTAGCACGATTCAAGACACCAAAACCTACATAGTTATAGACATACGAAACATCAAGAAGACGCTCAAATAGTTCCACCAAAGAACATCGGGAAGTCAAAAGACCAAATACTGAGTCAAAAGAATCACGGGGAACAAATCCCCAAACAACACCATCTTGTTCCCCGCGGGTGGACCCACGGGTAGGCCCGCACCCGTGGTTCCGCCCGCGGGTACAACACCCACCGGCCATATGTTCCCCACGGGTGGGGCGGCGGGTAGGCCACTGCCCGCCGTTCCGCCCGCGGGTACACTCATGTGCCCAAAATAATCCCTTCGAGAATTTTCAACACCAAGCTCAAATTCAAGTCTAAAACATGCCAAATCTCACTAAATACAACAAAATGACTTGAATCAAAGGAATAGCCAAGCAATGACACACATGAACCCTAAACACAAGCTCTAGATATGCATTTTCACAAGACAATGCATAAACACTCACATTTCATAGCAAAATCACATGTAGAATCCAATAAATCATCATATAGGTAAGCAAAATAGATTTTGTAGAGCATGGGTTACCTCTTGGAGACAAAAACCTTCACTTAACACTTCACCAAGCTCCTACTAAGGCTCACCTTCCAAACCCACTTCAAGAACACACCAAAAGATCGTAAAGATTCTATCTTTAAGAAAAAACACCTTAGAAAACACTAAAAACACAAGATGAACATAGATCTTACCCTCCTAGATGCTCAAAGGTATGAAAGGTAGAATCTTGGAGGCAACCTTTGAAGATTTGACAAAGCTCCAACTTGGCTTGGAAGAAAAGCTATCTAACTTTTAGGAGAAGGGAGAGCTCAAGTTTGGGAAGTGTAAGGAGAAAGAATGAGGAGTGTCTACTAGGTTAGCTTGCATTACTAACACAAAGTGAAATGTCATGAATACCCTTACTAAAATGAAGAGGTGTAAGGGAACAAGGGAACAACTCTCAAAGCCTAAGGTACAACCTTGATTTTGGGTTGACTAGTCAATTACTAGTCCTCGACTATTGAATTTTCAGGAATTTAAGAAATTAAATTACCAATTGATTTAGGATTAATTACTTAATTAATCCCTTAATTGAATTTGGATTACGGGGTGTCACATGCATGGATGTTTGTGGGTGGTTTTCACGGGTACTACTACCCGCTGAACTCCCCGCAAAAACAAAAACGATGCCAAACAGAACGAACTCAGATCAATGAATGTTAACAAGGCAAAATTACATGCACTTGCAGGCGAAAGTAGGTGCACTTGTAGGTGAAAGTAGGTGCACCCGATCAATGAATGCAAGCAAAAACTACATGCACTTGCAGACGAAAGTAGGTGAACTTGTAGGTGAAAGTATGTGCACCCGATTAATGAATGCTGACACGTGATGCGCGTTGATTGGTTTGCATTTCTCTTGTGGGCACCTATTCGCACCTGAACGCGACCATATAAATCATGCACCTTAAGAAGGAAAAACACGCACCTTAATCACAAAAAACCAGGCACCTTAAGAAGGAAAACCACGCATCTTAAGTTTCACAACTACTCACATTAAACAACAACCCACTCACCTTAAGCACAAAAACCACACACCTTAAGCACAAAAATCACGCAACTTAAGATAGAAAACCATGCACCTTAAGTTTCACAACTACTCACATTAAGCACACAACCCACTCACCTTAAGCACAAAAACCACGCACCTTAAGAAGGAAAAACCACGGACCTTAAATTTGACGTAAATGCAAAAATTACCAAGTTGCCACAACGTTTTTTTTTTTTTTTTTTTTTTTTTTTTTTTTTGGTAATCCTGAAGATTGATTTAAGCAAGATCAATGACTCAAATTTAACCGCACAACTGCATGAGAACTGAATTATATATATATATATATATATATATATATATATATATATATATATATATATATATATATATATATATATATATAGGGTTGAGTTCAAATAAGGACAACAATATATAGAGGACTGTGAGGACAAATAATGGGCACACAACCTCATACATAGTGGCACACAAGAATAAATGTAAACATCAGGTTTCGAACCCAGGCTCTATAAATTAACAAATCTAGCACGCGACATACAAACTGTGACACACGACTACATTCGGCCATGCACACGACATACCGGCTAGTGACACACACTACATCTGTCCGCACAGTCCTCTATAATATACTTGTCCTCATTTGAATATATATATATATATATATATATATATATATATATATATATATATATATTACAGTCTCGTCTTTCTAAGACACCCAATCCAGACCCTGTCTCTTTCATTGCCACTGCGTTATGGTTTTTCTCTTTGACCCGAAGTTATTTAATTGCATTAATGTCCCTTCTTATATTATCTTAATTAAATCACTTAGATCAAGGTTATTACCCTAAAAAGGAATGAGAGAGTACCCTTACCCTTGTTCCTTCCTTTGTATCTATTTCCTCACCTCTATTCATCATTTATTTATGTGTTTTTTCACCTAATCTTAATAAATTATTGCAAAATGTTTCAAGTGCTTTATTAATTAATAAAGAGGTTGCATCGTGTTTTTTTTTTTTTTTTTTTTCCAGCTTGTATTAAAAAAAATATAAAGCATATATATATATTATTAATAAGCAACAATCAATTAAAAATTGTCATGGTAAAGGATTAAATTTTCTTCTCGCAAATATGGAGTGTATCTCTATCAACTTGTATTATTTGCACAGTTGCAAAAATCAGTATACGCGCCCGCATAGGCCCCGCCTAGGCGCTAGGCACCCCTAGACCGTGGCAATTTCTCCCTAGGTGCTCGCATAGGCGGCTTGCCGCCTAGGCATCCACCTAGCGCCTAACTCGGCCGACTTGGGCGCCTAGGTAGCCGCCAAGCGTTTAACTTAGCCGAGTTAACTTGTCCATTTCAGTCGAGTTAACTCAATTAGCTCGGCCTTGCTAATCTTTTTCATTATATATATATATATATATATATATATATATATATATATATATATATATATATATATATATATATGTGTGTGTGTGTGTGTGTGTGTGTGTGTACACACACACATATACATACATATCTATAATATGATATATATACAACTGTAGACTAGTTTGATACTTTAAATCGTTGGATGATTGAAGAATTTAAGTATTTTATATTTGAGTATTTTTAATATTGTTTTGATGTTATGACTTCTGAATTATCATTATTTCATTTATTTGGATGAGTTATTTGATTGAATGTTGAAAACAGTCTCATTAAAATTGTCAAACTGCAAGTCTGCCACTGTTTTTTTAGCGCCCGCCTAGATTCCGCCTAGGCGCCGCTTAGGCACTGCTCGAGCGCCCGGCTAGTGCCTAGCGCCTACTTCAACCATGGTTATTTGTTATTATAGTATAAAGTAAGATAAACTTAAATTATTTATGGAGTAATTATTTTTGTTATAAAAGAAGATGTGACTTTTATTTATTTAATTATTTGTATTTTGTATATTATGATTAATTTTTTATATTACATGAAAGAATATGAATTGATGTATATACCTACTATTGTTAAGAAAGTAATGATGCTACCAACCACACTGCAAAATAGATTATTATTTGTGCACATGCTTAAACAAATTTCATACCATTGTTCTTTATGTGTGTGTATATTTAATGTCCACTAGATACACTAAGCTGATTTGCCCTAATAATTTAGAATTTGGTTTTATATTTATAAAACAATAATCTAGAACACTTTATAAAGTTATAGTGTACTTTATTTTATATATAATTGTGCAGTTATATTTAATGGCAATTAATTAATGACTTAATGCTTGGTTTCCTTGCTTTTTATATATGGTGTTAGCAAACATAAACTCCCAGTAGCCTTTTTTATACCAACACTCAATTCACCCTTGACCCTCCCACACTCAAACTAGCTTTTGCCAGTTCCTACTTTAATGACCAGATCAGAGAATGAATGGCTGAGATGACCAAATGGGGATTGGGGGTTTGTAGTCTTCTTCCTTTGCCACTTTTCTGTAAGTCTTCCCATTTACTGCTGCAACTAGCTTAGCTTCTGTATATATATGTATTATTATTATTATTATTATTATTATTATTATTTTGCTCTCTTACTTCACCTTCTTGAATTGCTTGCTTGTCTCATTTTCTGAATTGGTGCATTATTGGTTGCCCTCTCTGCAACTTTAACCTCAGCATCTTAAAACAAAAGAAAAAAAGAAATCAGTTTTGACAAAGAACTACTTGATTTCTGAGGTATCTCCAGTGCCCATATTCAAGATTTTTTATTTTTTTAATTTTTACTGCTATATATTTCATTTTTTGTAAAGAAAATCTGTACAAGAAACTTTTTTTTTTTTTTTTTTCATGGTTTTCATGAGGATAATAATGGGTATATTGTAGACAAAATAAAGTCATGACCTTTCTTTTTCCCCCCATCTTCTTTGCTTATCTCTGTTGTAAACTGTGCTTTGTTTCTATTCAATAACCAGATAAAGTGGGGTTGAAAATCTTCCTTCTTTTTGGAGATGGAGACAGATAGATGGGTTTGCATAATTGCAACTTTCTCTTGATTCTGCAGATTTTTAACCATTTATGCATATAACTTTTCATAAACTGTTTGAAATTAAAGTAAAGATCAAAACTTTAAAACTCAAACTCCTCGATCTTCAATGGAATGGGCTAACATGGATTTATGCCAACAGTTTATTTATTCAATTTGTTGTGGGTTGTATTTAGCTGATGAAAAGGAAAATCTGTCACCTTTCTATTATATAATGACTTATTGTATATATTCAACTTTATACCCTAACTGGCTTTTGTAGTTAGGCCACTTCGCATATATGTTTAAAAAACAAAAAAATAAAGGCAGAGGATGAAGAGATTGTTACATGTTTTGCTTTTTCTTTGTTGATAATCTAATCTTTGCCCTTTAATACTGCAGTTAATATTGTTCTGTAATTCAAATCAGGTTTCTGAGTATATATATCAGTAAGGTGGTTGAGGCCAAAACTTGGTTCAAACTTAGCTGCAAATTGGTGAAATTCACTTGTGGCATTGTTTACTTGGGGGTCAAAATTTATTAGGGATTTTTTTTTTTTTGGGTGATGGAATCATCATCATCATCGTCTTCATCGAAGAGGGCCAAGGCACCGGGTAACGCTGTGCAGGTTGCTAATTGCTTGGTTGATGGGTGTAATGCTGACCTGAGCCAGTGTAGAGAATATCATCGTCGGCATAAAGTTTGTGAGCTCCATTCGAAGACTGCAAAGGTCACGGTTGGAGGTCGTGAGCTCAGGTTCTGCCAACAATGTAGTAGGTAACCACGAGATATCGATCTTTGATTTAATCTCTCTATCATGCTTTCATTTTCTGGGAAAACATATCATCATAGCTCTTATAGTATGCTTTCGGTATATGATTCATAACTAAAGGAATTCGTTGCTTAGACCAATTCGAAATGCCAATCCAGAAACTCTATCTTGTGTCTCAAGATTGCATTCAAGTATTGTATTAATTAATATAATTTATTGCAGGTTTCATTCTTTGACAGAATTCGATGAGGGAAAACGGAGCTGCAGAAAACGTCTGGATGGTCACAACAAGCGACGAAGGAAGCCTCAGCCAGACAACAATCTCAACAAAAGTTCAGGATTGCTTTATTCTCCTAGTCAACAAGGTTAGCTTATAATCTCTTCTCCTTTCATAACAAGTGTTGAGATTAACCAGAACAAGAAAAATAATAATGGCTGAAAGTAAAGAAGACAAGATTTACGTAGTTCGGCAATGTGCCTACATCCACAGGAGTGAAACTATTCTTTTACTGATCCAGGTGATGACATACATTCAATATATTTATAGGCATCTAATATCCCTTTCACTCCTATTCCTTATATTAGACAAACTCATATTCCTAATCTCTATATGTATGATTGTTTAGCAGGTGCAAAGCTTCTTCAGTTTGGTAGTTCTCATCATCAAATGTTTCCAAGTGCTTCTGCATGGTCATCGTCATCGGGGGTGATCCAAGCGGAGAACGACATGATGCTCTACAACAACCAACACCACTTTAACTACATGGACACACAAAAAGCCTTCCAGCAGGATCATCGTCACGACTACAAAGAAGTGAATCAGTTTCAGTTCATGCAAGGCGGGAGTAGTAGTGACCGCATTTTCCCAGAAGCTTCAATCTCCCAACCACAACACATCAACATCAATAATTCAGCAGCAAGCAGGCAAAGGGTCTTCCATGGTGGATACGATGACTCCGATCATCGTGCTCTCTCTCTTCTGTCATCCTCTCCTGCTGTCACTACCCACACGTTTACTACTCCCCATCATCACCCACAGCCATTACCCCACGCCCTGCACTATGAACCTCTAAGCACCCACTATTCTTTCTCTCAAGAAACCGATGAAACCAAGCCGCCTCGAGTCTCTCAAGAACCCGATAGCAGCCCTCATCAAACGCTCACGTTCAGCTGGGAGTAACCCGCCCGCCTGCCCGCCCCTTTGCTGTTAATAAACTTTGTTCGATTCGATCTAGCCATATGCTCATGGAAATGATGCTAGCTGTACTATGTATGTTCAGATGATAGAATTTGTGCTACTTTTCTTCTAATGTGGATCTGATACACTTTCTTGTTGGTTAAAACTTAAAACCATCTTTCTTGGCTTGATTATTATTATTTGATTCCTACATTCCAGGGGGCTTATTATATTCATCAGGGAATTATATAATAAAGAGAATTTATAACTCACAGGAAAATTAAATAAATGAGTTCTGGGCACTGGGCAGATATCAATATTCAATTCAGTTTAGCTTCAGGACCACTTGGCCTGCTTATTTATTGCTTCTTCCACATTTATATCTCAGATGATGTCACATCCAGAAGCAGTATCTAATTTGGACCACTCAGGTCATCATGTAGATAAATATGCACATACAATTTAATAATAAATTCAACTCCATAAATTCAATATATAAAGAGTCATAGACGTACAACTTAGTCTGATTTACCTATTTAAAACCGACTAAGATCTCACAAGGTAAAGTTTACCTAGTGCACTTCTTTAAATAGTGACTAAGAATTGTCACTAAAAAAAAATTGTGCCAAACTTAAAATTTTAATTTTAATCGTGTCATAACTCCCTTGTTTCCTTGCTCGACCTGCTAGTTAATGATGATATTAAGGACCTAGTTAGAGTTTTCTTTAATCTCTATTTTACTTTTGTTAAACGGTCTGGGAATACAGTTGTCTATGTAGTGTTAATTAGCTAGGAAAGCCCTATCTAAGTCGGATTGTAAGGACGGTTTGTCAGTCCCTTTTCCTTCCGTAAGAGTAGATTCATTTATATGTTAATTAATTGGTCATATAAATATTGACACTAGAAATCAACGATCGTCAATACTCAATACTCAATAATCACACTCAATACTCGATATAAATATTGTCTGCACGGACTTAGCTCATTGGTTCAGTAGGTTGTAGTTGGGAGAATAATCACACTCAAAAGTCGAATCTAAGATCTTTTTTGAAAAAACTTGAACATATATTTTCTTAATTTGAATCACGAGTTGATAAGAAATGGAGTTGGACAATGTAAGAACAAAATTAAATGTGATCACTTTCATATGGGAGAATCTGGTTGTACATAATGGCTGTATTGATGAGACAGATGCATCCAGCTATTAATAATCGCTTTCAGACATACGCAACATTATTGCCCGTCTCTATCTTCAGAAGAAAGTAATTAAGCATGTACAAACTTAGCTCACTGGTTCAATAGACAGTATTTGAGAGAAAAAATAAGGTCAGAACCTCGACAGTAGCAGTGTAGGAATTATATCCAAAGTAGGCAAATCCCTTGTGCGCACATTTTGCCCTATCTGTTGAACCATTGAGTCAGTGTGATTTATATTCTCCCAAATATTCAGTCGGGCGAGGACCCTTAGGGTTGACGATTCAGGGAAGAAGAAAAAACTAATTAAAAATAATAAATTAATATACACACTAGCATTCACACGTGTTTGAGGAATAACAAAATTCAAATGTTTTGTTCCCTTGTGGTATTGATCAAAGGTCATAATCCACATGATTTAGTGCAAGCTTTGGCCTTCATCTAACTAAAAACACTTGACTCGGAGGAGGTATTTGTTGGACAAATAAAGAATTTCAAAGGTGGTCCACTAATATCCATATTAATTAGATTTCTATTACATAGACTCTCAAAATTCTACTCCTTCATTTACATTTTCTGAGGTGGCAAATCAGAATTGATTATTATCATTATGTGAGTCCCCAGAAAAATGTTTACATCAAGAACATGTGAGAGGGAGTACACATTGAGAGTTTAAAATGAGAGTACACCAAGTATTTTTCGTATTAATTATGGGGCTCATCTTACTATGACATTCTTATACTCCTGCAACATAAATAAGTCTGCGTTTTGACCCTAACATTTCAAAGACCACAAAAAGATAAATGAGTCTAAATTATCTATAATTGAGCAGTTCAAACCAAGAAGATTAGTAAACGACTCTCATGGAGAGCCGAATTAAGAACATTATGGTTAACAAATTAATTGTCCAATCAACTGATAAATATAAATTGTATTTACTAATTTATTTTCTGTGAATTTCGTAAAGTGTGCAAAACATGACACGAGTGTTGTATTATGGGCCCCTAAAATGTGGGCTTGGGCCCAAGGTTAAGATTGTCCATATGAAGGTCACCTTGTCAATGCATTATGCATTGTCACGTATTGCATTAATTGAATGGACTACAAGTTTTAGCTTTGACGAGTGGGCCCCTTTTTGTGCTTTCACAATGCAATAGCCAATAGTCAAACTTGTACAGAATAATTCACTTTTTTTTTTTTTTTTTTTTTTTTTTTTTTTTTAATTCCGTTTCTTTATATTTCAATATATATAAAACAAATATTCAATATTACTCCGTAGTACTTAATGTTAAAATTATAATTAATGTTAAAATTATAATTATATTGACAGTTTTTTTTCTTTAAATAATAGTATATAAATTTTAAAAAGATAAATTTATAATCGTAAAATTCATATTATAATAAAAAGTAAAGTTGATAATTTGGGTAATAGTTATGGTATAATTAATAATTGTTCGTATACAAATTTTAGATATGGTAAATGATTAAATATAATTATGGTAGCAGTTAATATATACTAACTGAAGATTAATGATTTAAGGATAATTTTGTCCAATAAAAATAATAGTATAATATTTGTAGTGCAATGTACGACTCAAAAAACATAGAAATAAGACCATAAATCTAGGGTACTAACATGGATTCACCTTTTTTTTTTTTTTTTTTTTTTTTTTTTTGGGATAAATTTGTACATTTCTGCGTACAAAGAACCCCAACCCAAACCCAAATGTTTAATGTTCGTGGCAGAAATTGAATCCCCACCCTACCACTAGAAGCAAATCTTAAGTGAAGTTTCTCATCCACTAGACCAATAACCTAGTTCATTCTTATAACAATGGGATGCCGCTTGAGTGAAAACTACGAACTCGTCATGGTCTTTAATATGGGAATTATCAAAACTCTAAAATAGAGAAAATATGGTGTCAAATTAGTAAATATTTCATACTTTAAAGTGCACCGATCAATACTCTATAATATACTGAACAATATTACAAAATGTACTTAGTGACATGTAAAAATACAATTTCTTGAATACACTTCAAAATATTACTAGATGCACTTTACAGTTGTCTATGAAAACATGAATCCCTCTAATAATTCATCGTACGGAAAAGCCATAGAATTTCAACCCACATCTTCAATTATTTTTTTAAGGATTGTTCATGGCTACTATGCATGACAACAAAGTAATAGTTGAGAACTTGGAGCCTGTATGTGTCTGAAAATGATATTTCTGTGAAAACGGGCAAGGTGGGTACAGTTTCATATTCATAATTTTTATATTGTAGATTCATAATTATAGAACTATATGTTCATAATTTTATAAATATATGTTCATATTTATAAAGTTATATGTTCATAATTTTCGATGTTCATATTTCCAATTGTTGAACTTTGTATTCACAAATCATAGAACTATATGTTCATAATTTGGTAACTATACAATTTAAAAATTATGAATCTACAGTACAGCTATTATGAATCTGCAGTATAGAAATTATGAATCTACTGTATAGAAATTATGAATCTACTGTATAGAAATTATGAATCTACTGTATTTAAATTATGAATCTACGGTTTAGAAATTATGAATCTAAAGTATAGATTTTATGAATCTACAATATAGAAATTATGAATCTACAGTATAAAAATTATGAATATGAAACCGTGCCGACCTTGTAAGGTGGCACAATACCACAACATAACGTTCCTATTTCTTCAATACTTGTCATCTTTCTTAGACTTTAAATTTACCTTTAAAAAAATAAAAACATTTTTAAAAAATTAAAATTTGACTAAAAAGATAAAATACCAAAATCTGTGCATAACTTGGTGGAGAATAAAATGAGAAACTGTAAAGTAGATCGATAAAAATATAGCCCCTTATTTTTTGATTTATGGAAAAGCCTGTAGTAATTATTCGAATAGCTCAACACAGGTCCACAACTAGTCGGCTATGTCCCTGCGGCTAATAGATAACTTCTACAAGAAATTGAATTTAGAATTTTGTGGTAAGCTACTCCCATAGGCAAGTTATATCATGGACAAGGTCCACATTGTATTGTGGACCGACATTTATATTATGTGTCTATAGTGCACATATTATGTGCTGCACATAATTTGGACCGAAAGTTATATATATATATATATATATATATATATATATATATATATATATAATTGGAGAACTAATAAAAGAGAAGTGAAAAGAAAATATGGATGCTTCACTGGCAAAAGATGGCAAAAGTTGAATACTCCCTCCCTTAACCGGCCATGGATGTAACTTGTCATCTGGCCTCCTTTAAGGTCACTTTCCATTCCAGCTCACAAGTCATGAATGTAACTGAAAACAGACATTTCAAAGTAGCATTCTTAATGGCATGTCTTTCCTATTTTATTTTTTACTTCTTAATTGTTTTCCTCTAATTTGGACCATAATGTTTTACCTTAAAATATCCCAATTTGAATAACATCTCCTTGTCCACCCTATACTTAAACACCATAACTAATCCCATTTATCTCAAACATAATCAACTAATCCTCTGCCATCCATGTCATGTTTCCTTTTCTTCCTAGTTCCTACTCTACCTAATCCTTCTCAAACCTATTTTGTCAAATTAATCAATCACTAATTAAGGTTTATTTGACTTGTAAAAAATGATAGATAAAATATTCTATTTCGATCTCTTTCCTATGTTGAAAAAAATAATAATTAATGTTTGTATTCTTTAATATTTTTAGGATGCAACAAAAAATACATAAAAAAAAAAGGAACAAAAAGTGCATCATTGTTCTGGTTTACATATCAAGTATCAATGCGGTGTGGGTACATGTCTCTGGATGGTCCTCTGATTCTTCAATTTGATGTCTTGAACACTCCACCATTGAAGGGCCTCCGGGTTTCAAGTGGCTTGATCTTCAAAGAAGGGCTTGTATATATAGCTTGTTCTTCTTGAAGGGCCTCCGGGTTCAAATGACTTGATCTTCAATGAAGGTTTGGATCAGCAGGCATGATTGGATTGGAGGAGGGGCTTTTACTTT